CCCAAATGGAGGGACCAGCTGAAGCCATGGCAATGACAAATTGTGAAGATTTCAAGGACATTTATTAGTTCCTCAAATTATTACTTTTATACTTACGCCTCGTCTTTACTCGTGTCTCTGAACATAAATTGTGAAGATTTGACACTTATCACTTCCCCAATCAATACCTTGTGATTTCCTATGCCTGTCTTTACTTTCATCTCTTAATCTCATCATCTTCGTGGTTTTCGAGGAGGATGTATGTCACCTCCGACTCCTGTGATGATTACAGACCGCTCAAATTGTTCAGAGCATGTGTGCTTGAACAATATGAAATCTAGGCACCTTGAAAAGAAGAACAGGGTAACAGCAACAAGTTCATGGAACAAGGGAGATAACTTTAAACTCTGATCGCCAGTGAACTCTATGGAAAAAGAGCCATGTTTCTCTTTCAAAAGCAAAAGGAGAAATATCACACCTTTTTCAGCAAGGAACATCCCTGAGAAAGAGAATGCGCCCTGAGGGTAGGCCTCTGAAATGGCCGCTTTGGGGGTGGTTGTCTTTAATGGTCAAAGACAAAAGGATGAAATAAGCCCCGGTCTCCTGTAGCGCCTTCCAGGATTATCAGGATGAGGGAAATACTAATAAAGTTTGGTCAGACCGGTTGTCTGCTTTCTCAAACCCTGTCTCCTGATGTTATCAGTGACAATGCGTGCCAGAAACTTCATTAGCAATTTTAATTTTGCCTGGCCCCGTGGTCCTGTGATCTTGCCCTGCCTCCATTTGCTTTGTGGTATTTTATTACCTTGTGAAGCATGTGATCTCTGACCCTGTTCATATACTCCCTCCTCTTTCAAAATCACTAATAAAACTTGCTGGTTTTACAGCTCAGGATACCACGGAAGCTGCCGACGCAGGACGCTCCCCCGGAACACTCAGCTTTAGAATTTCTCTCTTGTACTCCTTCCTTTATTTCTCAGGACCAGCTGACGCTAGGGAAATAGAAAAGAACCCACGCTGAATACTGGGGAAGGGTTTTATAGGGAAAGAAAATAAAATAATTTAGTCAAGTATGTTGGCATGTCTATGTTCCCAGCTACTTGGGAGGCTGAGGCAGAAGGATCATTTTAGCCCAGGAGTTCAAGCCTGCAGTAAGCTGTGATCTCATGCCAGGGAAGTCCAGCCTGGGCAACAGAGTATGACTCTGACTCTAAAATTTAAAAACTAAAAATTAAATTAGAAAAATAAAGATTCATGGTCCTTGCAATCTGGCTCACATTGCCTTTCCCGACCCCTCTGTCACATCCACTCTATCCCCGCAACCTCTTACACTGTGTTCCTTCATGAATACCTCGCCTCCCTGCCTGCATACTCGCCCTTTAACCTTCTACTCCCTCCCTGCACAACCTGTTCACCCTGCCCAGAATGTCCTGCCTTAAACTCTGTTCTTTTATTTTTTTTCTTTTTTGAGATGAGGTCTCGCTCTGTCCCCAGACTAGAGCAGTGGCGCGATCTCGGCTCATTGCAGCCTCTGCTTCCCAGGGTTCAAGCAATTCTCCTGCCTCAGCCTCTGAGTAGCTGGGACTACAGGTGTGTGCCACCATGCCTGGCTAATTTTTTTTTTTTTAGTAGAGATGGGGTTTTGCCATGTTGGCTGTGACTGGTCTCGAACTCCCGAACTCATGAGTCTCCACCTTGGCCTCCCAAAGTGCTGGGATTACAAGCCATGAGCCACCATGCCCAGCCTCCTCTCCTCTTTTTACAATACTTGAGGGCTACACTCTTCAAGAACTCTCTGATCAGGGCTCAGAAGCTGCAGGCTGCAGGGCTAAAAGCATGGCTCTGGGATCCCACCGCTGACTCAGCTGCACATGAGCAGTGTGACCTTGAGTAGGACACTTAACTTCTCCGTGCCTTGTTTCCTCACCTGTAACATGGGGACAAAGCAGTACCCATCTCACAGGGTTGTTGTGAAAATTCAATCAATTCCCAAGACACATGAAACACCAAGAATACTGCCAGGTACATATACAGTTAAGTGCTCCATACATGTCAGCTGTAATTAATAAAGTTGTTTCCTTGTCTCTATCAATTACTGTTGTGTATCCTCTGGACAGAGCAGTTCCCTGTTTAGCTTAGCAACCCACCCCCTACGCCAGATATTAAAAACTCAAGGCCCTTAGGTCCCCGGCAGTTAGTAGGCATATATGACCAAAGTAGCCAGTACAAGAGTAAAGTATGGTAAACGCAATAAAAGGTGGCATCTGTCACTCAGAACTTGTGTGGCAAGGAAGACAGTAGCATGGTGGTGGGATCGTGGCAACTGGGATAACACACGCCCCATCCAAAGACTGCAGTTGGGGCTGGGAACAGTGGCTCATGCTTATAATGCCAGTGCTCCAGGAGGAACAGACAGGAGGATCACTTGCGGCCAAGAGTTTAAGACCAGCCTAGACAACACAGTGAGATCCTATCTCTACAAAAATCTTAAAATTAGCTAAAATAAGCTGGGCTGGTGCATACACATCTGTAGTTCCAACTTACTCAGAAGGCTGAGGTAGGAGGATTGCTTGAGGCCACAAGTTTGAGGTTGTAGTTAACTATGATGATGCCCCTGCACTCCAGCCTGGATGAAAGTGAGATCCCATCTCTTTAAAAAAAAAAAAAAAAAAAAGACTACATTTATCCTGTGCCCAGCTGATCACTGCCTCAAAAACTATGATTGTAGCTCCTTGTAGTCTTGCAAGATCTTTGAGTTTTTCAAGAAAAGCCAGGTTTCTGGGTTTTCACAGCAAGGGCTTTTATATTTTATAAGATTCTCTCTCACATATCTATATCTCACATATACATATATATCTCATATACATAAATATCTCATACATGTATGTATGTATTTTTAGTAAAGATGGGGTTTTGCCATGTTGGCCAGGCTCGTCTCGAACTCCTGACCTCAAGTGATCCACCTGTCTCAGCCTCCCATAGTGCTGGGATTACAGGCATGAGCCACCATGCCCAGCCTGTGTCTTTATATTTCTAAATGCCAGTTACTACTTTTTGGTCTCCACTGAGCCCAGCAGATGGCCCAGGATCACAGCCAGCTCCTACTTACCATGGTGATGGTGCCCAAGAGAGTTGGGCTGGGACTACAGAAACACTGGGGCCAGGAATATGCCCCGACTTCTTCCCATGAAAGAGGAAGAGTCTGCCCAGACGCATCCAGCAAAAATCCCAAGGCCTGAAGAGAAGCACATACACGCCCTACAACGGATAGCACTGGGTCCTTCCCAGGGCCTACAAACAGCTCAGCCCCCAGGGGGTAGGGGGAAGTAACCAGCCTTCAAGCGATCAGCCACAGTCCTAGGACACGGCATATCCTCTGGGATAAGGACAAGTCCTCGGTAGGGTGAGGTGGCATCCAGGCCGGCACGTGACGGTCTGTCACCGGGTTTGCTCTGCCCCACTGCCTCCAACAGGACTGTTTGTGTGGTCACCATGTTCCCACTGCCTGAACACTCCAGAGCTCAGCCCACAGCCCATCTCTAGCTTCAACCCCGGCACACTGCACAAGAAAGCACTCCACAACAACCATTCATTCAACCAGCATTTCCTGAGGGTCCTCTGTGGGTGGATACGCCCCAAGGTGCATCCATTCTCAAATGATTCAGAAAAATAAATTATGGCATGCATATAGAGAGAGAGCAAAAGCTCATGATAAAACAAAGGTAGCAAAAGGTTAAAAAAATCAGTGAATACAGGCCGGATTCATGCCTGTAATATCAGCACTTTGGGAGGCCGAGGCAGGAGGATCACTGGAAGCCAGGAGCTTGAGAACAGCGTGGGCAACAAAGCGAGACCCTGTCTCTACAAAAAATGGTTTTAAATTAGCCAGGCATGGTGGGGTATGCCTGCAGTCCCAGCTACTACACTCAAAAGCTGAGGCAGGATGGCTTGAGTCAGGAGTTCAAGGTTGCAGTATGTGATCATACCATTGCACTCCAGCCTGGATGACAGAGCAACACCGTCTTATTTAAAAAAAAACAAAAAACAAAAAAAACAAAAAAAAAACAGTGACTATGAGTGATGGATAGAGAAAATCAGGCGGCAGTTCCTGGTATCATCGCAACTTTTTTTTTTTGAGAAGGAGTCTCACTCTGTTGCACAGGCCAGAGCAGTGGCACAATCCCAGTTTGCTGCAACCTCCGCCTCCTAGGTTCAAGGGATCCTCCCACCTCAGCCTCCCAAGTAGCTAAGATTACAGGCATGTGCCACCACACCCAGCTTTCTTATATTTTTCGTAGAGACAGGGTTCACCATGTTGGCCTGGGCTGAAACCAAAATCCTGGCCTCAAGTGATCTCGCTGGCCTCCCAGTTGGTGATTACAGGCGTAAGCCACCATGCTCAGCCCATTATGGCAATTTTCCTGCAGCTTTAAATTATTTCAAAATAAAAGCCAACTTAAAAAAAATAGGGGCCAGGCATGGAGGTTCACACCTGTAATCCGAAAATTTGGGAGACCAAGGCAGGAGGACTGCTTGAGGCCAGGTTTCAATTCAAGACCAGCCTGGGCAACACAGCAAGATCTCCTCTCTCTACAAAAAAAATAAATAAAAAATTGGCCAGAAAAAATCTATATACATATATTTAATTAAATAAAAGGAGATCGCCTCAGTAAGAGGGGGAAGAGCTGATAACCTCCCAGTAATGCCTTGGAGAACAATCCTATCATTCCTGTCGATAAACAGGGAAACTGAGGCTTGGGAAGGTTAAAAATTTGCTCCAGGCCAATACTGTTGCAGAGCTAACATTTGTACCTGTTGCTTGTTCAGAGTCTGTTCACTCTCCCACATTTCCTTCTGCCTTCTAGGGAAGAAGGAACTAGAGCTAAACTAACTAGAAGAGAAATACTGCTCACCAACCACCACTCCCCCGTCCAGGTGCACCTCTCAGCCCCCACAACAAACCCCCTAGTGACTTACAGTTTTGGTTTTGTTGAGAAGTGTCATCTGGAATGTAGCCCGGGTCATGTCGGGAGATAGAGGAAGTAGAAGGGGAAACAGGCCCAGAGGTAAAAACAAGGCACCCACACGAGGACCGTGTTCTGAAAGCACTTGGTGAAGTCAGGGTTGCTGGTATACCACGTGACATTCCAGTCTCCGAATGCAAACACAGGCGAGGGTTTAGAGGATACACCCCAGAGGACAGGAGTCGCCTGGGGCATGAAACCAGCTACACGGGTTTGAAGAAACAGACAAGGTTCCCATATATCCAAGGACCTCTCAGGATGAAATACGCAAACTCAAAAGATCGGTAGCCAGAAAGACTAAGAAACAAGGAACAAGGGATAAAGGCACGGTGCCTTCTGCACTTCCCACCTGAGCAACAGAGACCCTGTTTCAAAATTAATAAATAAAAATAAAGCCCTCTTAGCAGGAGCACACAAGTCAGATGCGTGGCTCATGCCTGTAATCCCAGCACTTTGGGGGAGGCTGGGAGGCAGACCACTTTAGGGCTGGTGAGTTCGAGACGAGCCTAGTCGCAATATAGTGAGATGCTGCCTCTATGAAAAACACAAAAATGGCTGAGTATGGAACGTGCCTGTATTCCCAGACACTCAGGAGGCTGAAGTGGGAGGACTGCTCTGAGCTGAAGGTGGAAGTTGCAGTGAGCTGAGATCATGCCACTGCACTACACCCTGGCAACAGACAGACTGCCCTGTCTCTCTCTCTCTATCTCTCTCTCTCACACACACACACACAACAGTGCATACACACAAAAACCTCACCAACAAAAAGGTATGTAGCATCTCATGTCACATTAACAGTCCCCAGAACCTGTGGCAAGTCCCACTGTAGTATAAAAGATGGAGACAGCCATTTAAAGGAATGCTGAAGGATATTCTCTTATAACTGAAGAACTCAAAGTCATCTAGATCACTCTGACCTTGTGAACTGAGGGTTTTCTAATCATCTCATTTATTAGCATCACCTCCCCCACGATGACCATCACCACCACCAGCAATACCAATACCACTGCCACCACCACCACCGCCGCCATCACCACCACCACCAGCAACACCCAATACCACTGCCACCACCACCACCGCCGCCATCACCACCACCACCAATACCAATACCACTGCCACCACCACCGCCATCACCATCACCACCACCACCAATACCAATACCACTGCCACCACCACCACCGCCGCCATCACCACCACCAGCAATACCAATACCACTGCCACCACCACCACCGCCATCACCACCACCACCAATACCAATAATACCGCCACCAATTCTTCGACCGCCACCACCATCACCACCACCACCAATACCAATACCACCGCCACCACCACCACCACCATCACCATCACCACCACCACCAATACCAATACCACTGCCACCACCACCACCGCCGCCATCACCACCACCACCAATACCAATACCACTGCCACCACCACCGCCATCACCATCACCACCACCACCAATACCAATACCACTGCCACCACCACCGCCATCACCATCACCACCGTCACCACCAATATAATCACCACCACCATCATCACCACTGCCATATACCACCAATATCACTGCCAACACCATACCACTGCCATCGTAATCACCACCATCGCCATCATGACCATCACCACCATCACCACCATCACCACCACCAATATCATTTGCCAGCACCATACCATCGCCATCATCACCACCATCACCACCATCGCCATCATCACCACCATCACCACCATCGCCATCATCACCACCATCATCACCACCAATATCACTGCCAACACCCTACCACTGCCATCATCACCACCATTGCCACCATCATGCATCATCACCACCAATATCACTGCCAATACCATACCATCGCCATCACCACCACCACCACCATCATCACCACCAATATCACTGCCAACACCATACCATCGCCATCATCACCACCATCACCACCATCGCCATCATCACCATCACCATCATCACCACCAATATCACACCATCGCCATCACCACCATCACCACCATCATCACCATCATCACCATCATCACCACCAATATCACTGCCAACACCATACCATCGCCATCATCGCCACCATCGCCATCACTACCACACCACCATCAGCACCAATGCAACCCATCACACCATCACACACCAATATCACTGTCACCACCACCATCACGTCGCCATCACCACGCCGCCATCACGTCACCATCATCACTACCGACCATCACCACCACCATCATCACCAATACTACCACCATCACCACCACCAGCCTCCACCACCACTGCCATACACTAGCGCCATCACTACCACCTGATCACCACCACCACCGCATCACTACTGCCGCCATCATGACCACCACCATCATGACCATCACCAATATCACCACCACCCCCACCATCACCATAACCATCATGACCATCACCACCACCACCAGGGATAACAACGAAATTATTTACTTCTGTGTGCTGGGCTTTATTCTAAGTACCTCATGTGTTTGATCTCCTTTCATTCTATAAGTATTTTTATCATCTCCTTATTCAGATGTGAAAGTCAGGCAGAAAGGAGTTAAATACTGTGTCAGTATCACACAGCTGGTAGCTCTGGAGCTGAATTCAAACTCCAAGCAATGGTTCAAGTCTGCATTTTACTACTGAGCTGTCCAGCCTTGGAAACAATTTTATTTCAATTACCCTTACTTTAAAAAAAAAAAAAAAAAAAAAAAAAAAAAAGGCTGTATTTTGTTAAAGAGCTGTGCCAAATAGATAGAACTGTAGATAGATACACACATAAATAGATCAGATATGTACCTGCCCAAGAATAAACCTCCACCATCAGCTGTTCTGTAATGAAGAATTTAAATTTTTCTTTTTTTGAAATGAGGTCTTGCTCTGCTGCCCAGGCTGAAGTGTGGTGGCAAGATCACAGCTACCTGTGCAGCGAACTTCTGGGCTCAAGCAATCCTCCCACCTTTGCCTCCCAAGCAGCTATACTACAGGTATGCACCACCATGCCCAGCTAGGCTTGTTTACATTTAATTCAAGCCATAATCTGGCAACTGACTAAACAACTTGGGAAAGCTTACTACCCTTTTCGGGATCTCAATTTCGTGTCTCCACCACAGTTAGATTGGATAAAATAAGAGGTACAAAACAGGTTTCCCCACCCACAGTTTGGCCCATAGATGGCTTGTTGTTATTTACTGTTGTTTAGGCATACTTTTTATTTAAAAAAAAAAAAAAAAAAAAAAAAGATTAGATTCAATATTTAAATTTTGATTTCTGGCTTTTATTTTATTTTATTTTCTGACAGAGTCTTGCTTTGTACGCCCAGACTGGAATGCAGTGGCGTGATCTCCCAGCTCACTGCAACCTCCTTCGGGTTCAAGCGATCTTGGCTCACTGCAACCTCTGCTTCCCGGGTTCAAGTGATTCTCCTGCTCAACCTCCTAAGTAGCTAGGACTACAGTCACGTGCCACCCCGCTCAGCTAATTTTTTTTTTAATTTTTAGTAGAGACAAGTTTTTACCGTGTTGGCCAGTCTGGTCTCGAAGTCCTAAACCTCAGGTGATCTGCCACCCTCAGCCTCCCAAAGTGTTGGAATGACAGACTGAGCCACCGCGCCCAGTCTCTGGCATAATTTAAAAATCAGAAAGTCTTCCAGGCATGGTGGCTCACGCCTGTCATTCCAGCACTTTGGGAGGCCGAGGCAGGAGGATCACGAGGTCAGGAGATCAAGACCACCCTGGCTAACATGGTAAAACCTCATCTCTACTAAAATACAAAAAATTAGCCAGGCATGGTGGCGCATCCCTGTAGTCCCAGCTACTCAGGAGGCTAAGGCAGGGGAAATCGCTTGAACCTGGGAGGCCGAGGTTGCAGTGAGCCAGTATCGTGCCACTGCACTCCAGCCTGGTGACAGAGCAAGACTATGTCTTAGAAAAAAAAAAAAAAAATCAGAAAATCTGGTGGTGCTGGGCCCCTATTCCTGGTGTATGACCATCACCAGGAGCTAGAGAGAGCCAGTCTTTAGATGAGGCCCAGTTGTCCAGTTGGCTGCAGTCCCCAAAAAGCCCACTTCTCCCAGGCACCATCAACCAGCCTATGCACCCTCCAGTAGCTCTGATTCAACAGCCCTCGCGACCACACTAGACCCCATGGAATGTCCAAAGGGAATCAGACCCTTACAGCTCTCTAAAGCCATGTCAAAAAAAAAAAAAAAAGTTAAAAATGAGAAATAAGAGGAAATAAGATCACTTTACTTAAAAAAAAAAAAAAAAAAAACTGTCAATCTGATCCAAAATATACATGTTCAATAATTAAAGAATCTAGTTATTAGGTTGGGCGCGGTGGCTCATGCCTATAATCCCAGCACTTTGGGAGGCCTAGGTAGGTGGTGAGGAGTTTGAAACAAGCCTGGCCAACATAGTGAAACCCCCATCTCTACTAAAAACATAAAAATCACCCGGGCATGCTAGTGCCGTCTGTGATCAGCTACTCGGGAGGCTCAGGCAGGAGGGTCACCTGAACCCAGGAGGCAGAGGTTGTAGTGAGCCAAGATGGCACCACTGCACTCCAGCCCAGGCAACATAGTGAGTCTCATCTCAAAAAAAAAAAAAAAAAAAAAGTAAACCTTACAAGGCCAACACACACAAAGAGATTTAGCTAGAGGAAACATCAGATACAAACCCTAAAAAGGACAAAGTTCACGTCATTTTGGCCTGGCACATTTGGAATACAGCCTTGTAAAGAAGAAGTTGATTGTGGAGAAGGCAAGACATCTCAAAGACTGATTATTTTAATTTCTTTCACACTACTGTTAATTCTTAAGGTGATGGCTGAAAAAAGGATTAAACTGTTAGTGGTCATTATATACAGAACAACTACGGGCAGTTGCCAGTAAAAAGCTCATTCCAAAAGGGAATTTGCCCTGCTAGAAAATAATACCAAGACTTGACATATGCAGTTATGTATACAAGAGACATAGTTCCAATGTTAAACATTTAATTGACCTGATCTTAGCCCCAAATTATTCCTTGCCAGGACTACTGCAATTGTAGCACTGCTCTTTCCTGCCTCAGCCTCTCCTGGTCCTACTGAGTTCTCCCTACTACAGCCAGTCCTCCCCACCACAGCCAGAGAATTATCT